CTCTTAATATCCATCCCAGTGTATTCTTATCTAGCTATCTATTTATTTTTCTATCTCTTTCTCTTTCTTTCTATCTATCTATCTATCTATCTATCTATCTATCTATCTATCTATCTATCTATCTCATTCTGTTAGTATCTATTTATATATCGATCGATCGCATTCTGTTCGTATCTATCTATCTATCTATCTATCTATCTATCTCATTCTGTTAGTATCTATTTATATATCGATCGATCGCATTCTGTTCGTATCTATCTATCTATCTATCTATCTATCTATCTATCTATCTATCTATCTATCTCATTCTGTTCGTATCTATCTATCTATCTATCTATCTCATTCTGTTCATATGTATCTATCTATCTATCTATCTATCTCTTTTTCTTCATATCCATCCCAGTGTGTTCTTATCTAGATGACTATTTATTTTTCTATCTCTTTCTCTTCATATCTATTTCATTCTGTGCGTATCTATCTATCTATCTATCTATCTATCTATCTATCTCTAAATGTCTATCTAGCTATCTGCTTTTATTATCTATGTATGTAAATTTCTGTTATCTATCTATCTATCTATCTATCTATCTATCTATCTATCTATCTATCTATCTATCTCCTGTTTGTATCAATCTATCTATCGATCGATCTCATTCTGTTCGTATCTCTTTCTCTTCATATTCATCCCAGTCTCTTCTTATCAAGATATTTATCCATTTATCTATCTCTTTTCATATCTATCTTATTCTGTTCGTATCTATCTATCTATCTATCTATCTATCTATCTATCTATCACATTCTTTTCATATGTATCGATCTTTTTCCATTACTATCTGTCATCGCATTTATAAAAACAAAAAATTGGGTCTTTCGGTTTTTCTAGAGCAATGGTCACACTTCCTTGATGAGTTTAGATATCACAGGTTTCCTAGCTATAAATCCGTTTAGGAAATTTTGTCGTAAATATATCCGAGCATGTGGCCTCGTGTCAGACAATGTTAAATTTCGACGTCTTCCACGATCGAGGGCAGTTGGCAGTCATTGACTGATACGCCGAATTGTATGTTACCCTATATTCAAATGCCTCGTCTATTTGCAAATGATAGCACCCTTCTCGACCATATGTCTAGACACCCTCCCAAGCCCGAAGGACCCGCCCCTCTCCCATGCTGTAGCGACTAACCCAAAACCCTTAACATTCTTTCCTCTTCGGCGCTCTTCCCTTAATATCCTCTGATTCCTAAAGCGCTCATCCACTACCCACAACTGACCCCACCCCAAATCAGGAAAAGGGGGGTGGCAGGAAGAGTTTATCTATGTTTTTTTTTCTTTCTCTTCTTTTTTTTTGTTGTTTTTTGACACATCCGTCGTGCAAGTTTCATTATTATTCGGATTAGCCGGATACCAAACGCGGTGACGAGATAACGAAACAACCAAACTATTTTTGACGGCTTCTGGCGAAACGTGGCCTGGACGTTTTTTTCCTAAATTGAATGACCCCTGACGAGGTTAACAAAGGGACTAACAGCTTTGTACCGCTGCCAGTAAAACGTGAGATTGTTTTAGGAGAGCAATGGAGGTACGGTGGAGTTATGGACGGCTGGGGGCTCGGATTGAGAAAATGGAGAGCCGAGTTTGAATTCCAGTTGACTCCATGACATTCACTTACGGGCTAATACCTTTGGGAAAGGTATGAATCCTCTTCTTCTCCCCCAGCTATGGGTAAATAGCAGGACAGAGTTCTGTAACGTTAGGGGACAACCGGTCTAGGAGAATGAAAAGCTATGAAGTGGTGAGGGTTGATCTTCGTCAGTCTATCTTGCCCAAGGAACACTGTGGCTGCAGCACACATGGTTCTCCTACGGGTCACGTGATTATAAAAAGTGATTAAAGCCGACTGAAATTGGAACTCGGCTCTCCTACACATCCAAGCTTACAATACTTGACATTCATCAGCGGACACCCATTTAGGTACAGACCAGGCTCGACGTTACTTAACTTCGGTGGCCATGCCAAAACTGGTGTTTCGACCTGATAAAGAAAACTTTAGGCAGTAGCGAAGTGGTCACACTGATGGATGCGTTGAATACCATGGCCGGAGCACGTAATCAAAGAGGAAGTTTTAATGAAAACAAAACGAACGCCTTTAATGAAAATAATAAACAGGCAATTAGAATTACTGGGATATATAATGAGAAAAGAATACTTGTAAAATCTGACGCCCAGAAGAGAGAGAGTAATTGAATGACAGCTCAGGCTTTGGGAGAAATAATGAGGCGACAAATATTAAGACCGACGAAGGATAGGACGTTGTGGAGAGCTGTGAATAAACCTAGGGATTCGAGGCATTGAACAGTTAGTAGATCGTTAGCAAAAGGTCGTAAACGATGAAGGGGAATAGATTGTCGAATGATTCATCAGAACAATTAATAAATAATAAGTATTAAAGCAAATTATAAAAAGAAAAACGAACGAATTTATGTAACAGCCTAATACAGTGAAATTAACGCAAATAAATAAAAAAAAAACCCTAGAACAGCCGAAACCCCGTGAGCTTTTGGTAAAAATCATTATTTCATGCCAACTTCCTTGGTGCTATGAAATTGGGTATCATTTAAACCACATTTTTCGGTCGATTTCTAACAATTTGAGGGGTGTTTCGTTCAACAACGATGTGGAAAGTTGGCTTGATGAAGTTTTCAAGTCAAAATCTAGTGATTTCTATCGTCGAGGCATTGAAAAGTTTGTGGATCGTTGGCAGGAGGTCGTAAACAATGAGGGGAATACATTGTTGAATAATTCATTAGATCTATTAATAAATAATAAGTATTAAAATAAATTATAAAAAACGATCAAATTTATGTAGCAACCTGATACATTGAAATTAACACAAACACGAAAAAACGTGTCTAAATAAATAAATCCTAGAGCAACCGAAAACCCGTGAATAATGATTTAGTGATACAAGTTCTGCTAATTAACCCATAGTTGAGGGGAGAAGAGGTGGATTCATACTTTTCCCAGGGGTATTTGCGAGTAGGTAAATATAACAAACTGAACTGGAATTGGAAGTCGGAGCGCCGATTAACATTTCCAAATGATTATCTATTACACCACCCACACATCTAAGCTTACAGCGCATGGTAAAATGAACAGGCTAAAAGGGGCTATTCAGCTGAAAATAACTAACCGGCAATACGACGTGATTATTCAACATGACAATGCTGACCTCCACATCACTAACACGTCCAAAGATGCAATTAAAGAGCTCAGTTGGGAAATACAACAACACCCACCATATTCTCCTGATTTAGCCTCTTCAAACTAACACATTTTTCAGTCGCTTTCTAACATTTGAGGGGTGTTTCATTCAACAACGATATAGAGCTTAAAACGTGTCTTGGTGCATTTTTGCAGTGATTTCTATCGTCGAGGCATTGAACAATTAGTGGACCGTTGGCCGGAGGTCGTAAACAATGAGAGGAATGCATTGTTGAATAAATCATTTATAAAAAACGAACAAATTTATGTAGCAACCTAATACACTGAAATTAACGCAAATACGGCGAAAAGGTGTCTAAATAAACAAACCTTAGAGCGACCGAAAACCCGTAAACTTTTGGTAAAACTCATTAGTTGTGCCATGCAATTGCGGATATTTCCGACATTCGCATTGAGTTACTGCTGTACGTGGTGTGCGACTGACAAAAAAATTTCCGTCATTCGCAGTAGAGCTATAGAATGCAATGACGGAAATTTCCGTCATTCGCAGTTGAATCAAGAAATGCAACGGCAGAAACGTCTGGCATTCGTATTGAATTACTCTTTCGACTGACAAAAAAATTTCCGTCATTCGCAGTAGTCATAGAATCCGACGACAGAAATGTCCGTCATTCGCATTTGGGCTACAGAAATTGAATGCCTGAATCCGAAGCTAACACGTTAACGATTAAATGGAGAAAGAATAATAATGCTTCTTTAGTTGTTTTTTTTTTAGCTGTATAATGAAAAATAGGTAGCCTTCAGCAAGCGAAACACGTGTATACAAGTAAACAAACACTAAAATACGATCGATACAAAGGACAATGTGTGTAAACAATAAACAATTGATTTCAAACACTAACCGTGCATAAAGAACAATGTTCTTGAAAAAATAAAAAATATATATGTTTCAAAATTAATTCGGTATAACAAAACAAAACGTACCAAGTCACGTTGCAAACGACTGGAAATTGGAGCAAATAGGTTTACACGTGTCGAGAAAAATAAAAACAGATTACTAACAAGTTCTGAAATAAATTAGTGACGACATTATTGACAAGAAATTAATGCACCTTGCGTATTCTCGCTGAAGCGCGGTGTGTTTCTTTCTTTTGCTTTGTACCAAGCTCTTTTAGAATGTGGGCAATCATGGGCTCCTCATAATTACCTGTCTTTTGTTGCCCAAAGTAAGTTTTGAATATTTTACCATCCTTCTCTATCCCGATTCTATCATCCTTTCACACAAAATCGTTTCTTTCTTTTGCTTTGAACCAAGCTCTTTTAGAATGTGGGCAATCATGGGCTCCTCATAATTACCTGTTTTTTGTTGCCCAAAGTAAGTTTTGAATATTTTACCATCCCTCTTTATCCCGTTTCTATCATCCTTTCACATAAACTCGTTAAGTAGGCTAATCTTCCTCGACTTCACTATATATTGTGAGTGCCAAATTCTCTAGGCCCTCTTTCCTAATTGTGTGTTTCAGTAATTTCACCGGTCCCTTTCTGATTATAGTTTCAGTTTTTTTCTTAAAACTTGCTTGCATTTCATATGTTCTGTTTATGGTATCCTCAGCATCCTTCTGTTGCTTGAATCCTCTTTGTGAGGAAAATGTCCGGCATTCACCGTCATATAGAACATTAGATATTACATATCAGTTAAGTGCCCTTCGGATTTCTGTGTCGCGCCACCCAGATAGTTAAATCTCCGTAATTGCTTGATTTTGTTGTTTCCAGTATGTAGCTCATACAGTGAGATGCCTCCATTGCTAACGACCATTCATTCTGACTTCTTACAGATAATAATTAGTCCTTTGGGTTTGCTTTTCTCGGCTACTTTGTCTAAGAGTTCTTTCAGTTTTCTTCCTGTGTTTATTGGTTCTAGGACAGTTGTGTCCCGGAGAATTGCGTACCAAACAATTGTGTCGGTGGATATTTGCGTCCCTAGACAAATGCGTCCCTAAATAATTGCTTACCTCTGATAATTTCTGAAGCTTTTAAAAGTAATTACTATAAATTAAAAAAAAAAGCATAGGTAGTAATCATAATTTTTTAGAAAAGGAATAAAGTGAATAAAATAAAATAATTTAAAAGTTTAATTTTGTTTAAAATGCAATGAGAGTTTAAAAGTATTGCAAGATCGCCATTATGTTTTTGTTTCATCAGCGTTTTTTCTTATGATAGTGATAGCTGTAATTTTCCTCGTCCACAAATATTCTTCCACCAGGGTTTGATTTTCGGAACTTCGCCATGGGTTCGAAATAAAAATATAATCTATAAAATCCAGAATCTATTAGATGTTTTTGGTACGCACTGCTGGATTGAACTGAAACTGCTAGCTTCATTTTCTCTTGCAATATTTAAATTAAACGGTGAAATCTGTTTTGTAAATCGATAAATATTAATAATCTTAATTTTAACCATTTATCTTGTTTACAAGTCGATAAATACTACGTTTATTGTTATTTAAAAAGTAAGCACTTTTTTTAGGGGACACTCTCTATATTTCTGTATTATCAAAGGTAGAACAAAGATTAACACCGGAAGTAAAACAATCATTAATACAGTGTAACCCGGATATAAGAGAGTTGTCGGGACCGGAGAAGAAGTCTCTTATATCCGGGTTTCTCTTATATCAGGGTTTGGTCTATTTTATATACATTAACACAGGCTCTAATTTGGGACCAGAGAAAATCTCTCTTATATCCGGGTTTCTCTTATATCCGGATCTCTTATATCCGGGTCTCTTATTTCCGGGTTACACTGTAGTTGAAAACAAGTATAGCATTATATTTTTGAATTTTAGGCTTTTAAAAGAAGCCTGAAACCGCAAAATAATATGCTATCCAGAATGGGTAAATATGCAATTATATATAAAAAATAAATAATTTTTGTCTGAATTTCTGTAATGAGGAGTTATCATTTTTTATGCTATTTATATTCGGATTATTGTCCAAATCTTTGTTGTTTTCATCACAACGTTTCGGTCGTTGTGCCCTCCGGCCTTCTTCAGGTGTATATCGCTCTGGATAACCTACAGGGAATTCCATGCTGAACCTTTTATATAATCTCCGGTGGGGAGGGGGTGAAGACTGTTTTCGTTCTACTGCTCACGTCTGAGGATATTTACTTTGCTCACCCATTTCCACAGGCTGCCCCACCCAGGGATTGAGCTCACAACCTCTGTCCCGTAAGACAATGACCTCATGGGTAAAAGCGTTGACATAGTGACCGTATCACTAAATCACTCTGCTGCTGTCGGCCGCTGCGGAAAGTTGTAACCGCTTGACTTATTATTGACACCTAATGAAAAAGAGCAGGTCCATAGCAGTTGCTGGACCACTGAGTTTTTTTTTTTTAATTATTTTAATCATTTCACCGCAAGCAAGGCGGGAATGCCACTAGTGCACAGAGGGGTTACAGAACGTTTAAGTGAGAGAAAAAAAAAACAGCGTGGGATTGATGAAAGGATAAAAGATAAACCGGGTTCAGGACGACAGAAGACTTCGATTAACGTTTCATTTAAATTTTTGAAGCTTGTAGTTATCAGGGAAGCAAGTAAGCGGAAGGGAGTTCCACTGTCAGGAAGTGCAAGAAAAGCAACTTTTGGAGTAGAAGTGGCGGTTGCATTTAACTCTTTTAACAGTAAAAGAGTGGGACCTAGATGCCAATTTAATAGCACGCTTAAATTTCTGCAGTCAGAGTACCTGGGAGAAAAGCTCGTCAGAGCAGTTGCCATGAAAATATTTGTAGAAAAGACAGAAGGAAGCCACATATCAGATTAAAGATGTCGAACTGTATTCAGATCTTTCAAAAATCCAGTTAAGACTCCAGAGATTTTACAACTGAAATCTCTCAAGGTCTAATAAGATTAAGCTTTACAAATCCCTTTCAGTGAAATGACTTAAGGTCAGATTAATACGTTTTAATACATTATTATCCAATACATTTAGGATATTGACGACACTTTAAAAAATATTTTAAGAAAAGGGTTAAATTTCTACTGAATATCTTATTTTCTCTTCTGCGTAGAAGACAAAATATTTTTTGTAGTACATATGAAAATAAAACTGTTTTAGAACAAATTTGACAGATGAAAAAAAAATAATAAAGAAAATGAAACAAAGTGTTTTAAAAATAATTGCAACAGTGGCTTTTTAACCTTGTCGGAGGTACTGAATCCCATAAGTTTCATCCGGGCATTCACCAAACCCTTCGCAATTGGAAAACTGATATCTACCGTCCATGGTATATTTATAGTAGAGTAATGGGTAGCGGCTGGGTTTGAGGAATTGGAGAACCAAGTTCGAATTCCAATCGGATCTTGGGAAAAGGTACGAATCCTCCTCTTCTCCTTCCAGCTATGGGTGAATAGCAGAATAGACTGGGTTTTATAGCCTTGGATGGCAACTGGTCTATCGTAGAAAGAAATGGCAACCTACTGCCGGAAAAAAACAACTGCCTCGTCAGTCATCTATCGTAACCAAAGCGTGTATCACGCATGGCACATAACTGACTATATTTACCGACAGTTGGAATTATGAAATATGTTAGGGTTTAGGGTTAGGGTTGAAGGCAATGAACAGTGAACTGGTTATGTATTAAAAATCATTAACAAAAACTTTAGTAATGCTGACTTTAAATTTACTATAGTCATCGATCTTATTTTCTGATAATGTCGTGTATGGTCGACCATACTTTCAAAAATGATCACGTTACATAACACTGCATAATATATGGTAATACTATCGTGTGTTATCTACTATTAATTTTCTACTATGGTAAGATATTTACCAAATGTTGGAAATATAAAATATGTTAGGGTTTAGAGTTGGGGGTTAGGGTTAGGGTTTAGGATTAGGGTTAGGGGTTAGGACTTAGGGTTAGGTTTAGAGTTAGGGGTTAGGTTTAGGGTTAGGGGTTAGGGTTAGGGTTAAGGCTAAAGGAAGTGAACAGTGAACTGTATTAAAAATCATTAAAAAAATTTTTTATGCAAAAAAAAAAAAAAAAGAAAATCATCAAATAGTGATTTTAATGTGTGTAAACTGATTTGATGCCATTTAAAAAAAACAGCAAACAGGTCATCGTTTTTTCTGAGCATTTTTCCAGCAATAATGAGTGCATCGTCATTTACGGTAGCTCGCAAATGCCTCGGTAGATATCATACTATAGTAGCATCCTATAAACTTTTATACAAATTTTACCTTCTACAGGTTAGTTTTCCGTTGAAATTACTTGTTCATAAATAAATTAGGAAAAAAAATATTCACAAAAATAGATTTTTGATAAAACAAAAATATTACCAGAAAAAAAAGTTGTCTGCATTAAATGACCCATTGAGGTTGATTTGCCGTAAAACAAACCAAACCAAACCAAACCGTCGACTAAAGTGACAGGGTACTACTATAGTATATTTACCATCCATATTCTACTATAATATGATATCTATAATATGATATCATTTTCTATTATCGTATGATATTTACCAAATGTTGGAAGTATGAAATATGTTAGGGTTAGAGTTAGTAGTTAGGATTAGGGCTAGGGCTTAGGATTTACGTCAGGATTAAAGGCAGTGAACAGTGAACTGGTTATGTATTAAAAATCATTAACAATTTTTTATACAAAAAAAGTAAAAAAATATCATCAGGATTTTAATGTTTGTAAACTGATTTGATGTCATTTTAAAAAAAAATTTAAAAAAAAACAGTAAACAAGACATCGTTTTTTTTTAGCATTTTCCAGCAATAATGACTGCATCGTCATTTACGGTAGGTCGCAAGTACCTCGGTAGATATCACACTATAGTATCACTAATATGATTTCTTCAAAACATAGGTATATATTTTATTAGTGCACAAAAGAACCATGCATCAGTTGCACACAAAATCCCTGTGTTCAAAGATCAAACCAAAAAGTGCATGACAAAAACAAATATATGACTGAATGAATATTTTACGGCAAATCAATGTAACTTTTGTTGTTGTTTTTCAGAGATAAGTTACAATGATTACTACAAGCTTAACTTCTTTAAGTCAAATTTCAACCGTTATCTATCCTACCTATCCTCATAATATGTACTTACTTCCTCCTCTTACAACCTTACTCAACAACCCTCTACTTTGAGTGACTCATGAGCCTTACATTGGGTGAATATTTAGTAAAAAAAATATAAGGAAAGATAAACTAAGTAAAACTTATGAATTAATATTTGTTGTCCGCAAATAGTTATTGTTTGCTTGTAATTCTCACCTGACGGACAGACAGACGGATATAATTTGCGCTTTATACATTATTATGTTCATCCACAAGGGTAGGCTTACGTATACTTATTTGTTTAAACAGGTAAGTGCATTTGTAATGTTTTTAATATCTCTGTGTTACGCTGACTTAAATAGTATTAAGCCTTCAAGGCAGATACCTATGTGACCAGGTGTTATACGTATGAGTAAACGACTGTGTTTTGAGTCGGTACAGTAGGTCTGCAGGCTATTGTGAAACTTTGGATGACTCAGATGTAGGTTAATTCGCCCGAAATCTGGGCCGCTCGGCCTCCCCTGCCGGTGTCGCCAGGTAGACGACGCTTCCTCGCTAAGCATAAAACAATAACAATATTCATATTCGTGCTGACTATGGCGTCTTTTCACTTTTAGGCCCTCCCTCTTCTAATTTGTTATTACCTTCTTTCTTTCTTTCTTTCTTTCTTTCTTTCTTTCTTTCGCTTTCTTTCTTTCTTTATTGATTTATTTCGCTTTCTTTATTTCTATTTTTTCTTTCATTGTTTTGCTTTCATTGTTTTGCTTTTTTTTTTCTTTCCTTTTTTCTTCTTTCTTTTACTCATTTTTCTTTTTTTTTTTTTCTTTCTTTTCTTCTTTTTTCTTCCATATTTCTTTTCCTTTTTTCTTTTATTTTTTTGCTTTCTTTTTCCTCTTCCATCTTTTCTTTCTTTCTTTCCTTTTTCTTTTCTTTTTCTTTTTATTTATTTGTATTTTTCTTTCATTGTTTTGCTTTCTTTTTTCCTTCTTCCATTCTTTTTCTCATTCGTTCTTTCCTTTTTTCTTTCTTCTTTTCTTCTTTACTTGCATATTTCTCTTTCCTTTTTCTTTTTTCTTTTTTCTTTTTTCATCTTTTCTTTCTTTCCTTCTTTCTTTTTTTTTTCTTTTTTTCTTTTCTTTTTTTTCTTTTGTCTTTTTCTTTTTTTTCTTTTTCCATTTCTTTTTGTTTTTTTCCGTTTTTCTTTTCTTTTTTTTTTTTTTTTTTTTCTATTTCATTGTTGCTTTTTTCTTCAGTTTCTTCTTTCTTTCTTTCTTTTCTCCACTTTTTCTTTCTTTTTCTTTCTTTCCATTTTTTTTTTTCTTTCGTTTTTTATTTCTTTATTTTTCACTTTTTTTCTTTTTCTTGTTTTTTGTCTTTTTTCCTTTTCTTTTTTCTTTCTTTTTTTGTCTTTCCTTTTTTCTTTTTTCTTTTCTTTAATTTTTCCATTTTCATATTTTTTCCTTTTTTCTTTTGCATTCATTTCTGTTTTTTTTTCTTTTTCTTTTTCCCTTTTTTTTTCTTTTTTTTTTACTTTTTTTTTTTTTTTTGACGTTCTATTTCATTGTTGCTGTTTTCTTCAGTTTACTTAAACTTCGTCATTTCTTTTCTCCACTTTTTTGTCTTTCTTTTCTTTTCGTCCCATTTTTGTTTTCTTTCTTGTTTTTTGCTGTTGTTCCTTTTTCTTTTTTCACATCTCTTTATTTTTTTTATTTTTTTTTTTTCCATTTACCTTTTTTGCATTGTTCAATTTTTTTTTCTTCTTCTTTTCTTTTTTCTTTTTTTCTTTTTATTTTTTTTTCTTTTTTCCTTTTTTTCTTTCCTTTCCTGATTTTTCGTCTTTTCTTCCTTCTTTTTCTTTCTTTTTTTTTCCATTCTTCAGTTTTTTGTTTCCTTTTTTCTTTTTCCTTCATTTTCCAATATTCTGTCCTTTTAAAAATTTTTTTTCCTTCCTTTCTTTCTTTTTTTTTTTCTTTTTCATTTTCTTCTTTCCCCCCCCCTTTTTTTTTATTTTTTTCTTTTCTTTTTTCTTTTTTTTTTTTTTTTTTTTTTTCTTTTCTTTTTCTTTTTTTTTTTTTTCTTCTTTCTTTTCTTTTTTTTGCTTTTTCTTTTTTCTTTTCTTCTTTCTTTTTTTGCTTGCTTTTTTTCTATTCTTTTTTCACTTTCTTTTTGTCTTCTTTCCGCCTTTTTTTTTTTTTTTTTTTTCTTTTTTTTTATTTCTCTGTTCCAGTTATTTATCGTCCTTTTTTCTGTTTATTTTTTTTTGTATTTTCTTCCTTTTTTTTCTTTTTTTCACTTTATTTTTCTTTATTTTTTCTTTCCATTTTTCTTTCTCTTTATTCTTTCTTGATATTCTTTATTTCTTTTTTATTTTCATTTCTTATCGCTTTTCCCATATTCAGTTTCTTTCTATTCTTTCTTTTCCACATTTCTATTTCAAATTTCTTCATTATTTTCGGCTCACATTTTAGTTCACCTGTCCTTAATTACCTCTTGTCTATGAACTTCGATCTCGTATTTTTTTCTTCTTCTTTTTTCTTCTCTTTCCTCTTTTCTCTTTATTTTTTTCTTTCTTTCTTCATTCTTTCCTTTTTTTTTCTTTTTTTTCTTCCTCCCTATTTCTCACTTTCTCTTTTTTGGTTTTATTTTTTCTTTCTTTCTTTCCTTCTCTCCATCTTTTGCTCTTTCTAAATTTCTTTCTTTCTTTCTTTCTTTCTTGCTTTTTTTCTTTCTTTTTTTCCCTTTTTTTTTTTTTTGCATATTTCTTTTCTTTTTTGGTTTTATTTTTCATTTTCTTCCGCCTTTCTTTCTTTTTCTTTCTTTCCATTATTTTTTTTTCTTTTCTAAATTTCTTTTCTTTTTGGTTTTTTTTTTTTTCTTTCTTTCCTTCTTGCCATCTTTTTCCTAAATTTCTTTCTTTCTTTCTTTCTTTTTTTTTCTTTCTTTCTCCTTTTTTTTTTTTGTTTTGCTTTTTTTATTCTTTTCTTTCACCATTTCTTTCGTTTTCTTTCCGCCTTTCTTTCTTTCTTTCTTTCTTTCTTTCTTTCCTTTTTTATTTCTTTTTTCTTCTTTACTTCCATATTTCTCTTTCTTTTTTGGTTTTATTTTTTCTTTCTTTCTTTCCTTCTCTCCATCTTTTGCTCTTTCTAAATTTCTTTCTTTCTTTCTTTCTTTCTTGCTGTTTTTCCTTCTTTCTTTCTCCCTTTCTTTCTTTTTGCTTGCCTTCTTTTTCTATTCTTTCTTTCTTTCTTTCTTTCTTTCTTTCTTTCTTTCTTTCTGTTTTTCCTTCTTTCTTTCTCCCTTTCTTTCTTTTTGCTTGTCTTCTTTTTCTATTCTTTCTTTCTTTCTTTCTTTCTTTCTTTCTTTCTTTGTATTCACTTATTTTCTCATCCTCATATTCTTTTTTTATCGTATTCTGGGAAATGATTGCATCAGAAATGTTTTGATTTCACATATTAGTCATTTAACTCTAATTTCTCCTTAGTAATATAAACCGAATCTTGAAAATCAGGAAGTTGAGCACAGGTAAACATCCCAATGGATGCCTCATGTCAACCGTAGAAAAAGTCATTTAGAATATAAAGCCTTGGGTTAAAACAGTTTGGCCACGGGCCTTAAAAGATTCCTGTACTCGAAATTCGTTTACCGTCTCTCAGCTGAACTCTTCCCTGGTGAGAAACTCGGAATTACTAAACACGAAATTGTCCTCATAATTCGGGCCATTGGGAAATAAACTAAGAGAACCTTGAGTTAAAACACGATTTACACCTGAAGATTATCGATTCCCGTACAGATTCACATTATCGTGTCCACTAAAATATCAAATACAATATTTATAAACCAATAACACCCAAGAAAATAATTACATCTTAAAACACACAAATAAAATCTCTATAAAAAAAAGCAGGGTCTTTGTGTGTGTGTGTGTGTGTGTGTGTGTGTGTGTGTGTGTGTGTGTGTGTGTAACGAATGCACCAAAATTTACATGCACATGCTCCAAGTTAGCGGGAAGGCCAAGACCGACTTTGCATTTCCCAACTCCCATCGATAGTGGAAATATTCGATTTGTTCATGCTTCTACGGCAGTTTTCATGTAGTTTGCGGCCATTTTCTACTGGCCAGAATGAGAGCCTATAGCTGGCTGCCACGAATGGGTAGGAAGATTCTATTGGCCAGCGTGAGAGCCAACAGCTGACTGATACGAATGTTCACTAGCATGCAAAAAACAATCGATAGCTGCATTCGTCACAAGTGGAAAAAATTTAAATCTGCATGGCACTTTACTCCAATTGGCTCATTCCCTTGCTTAAACTCAACGTTGATTCTGATTCTGCAGAACTGGGTTGGGTGTGAAAAAGTATTTGTTGTTAACATTCTTTTTTCATTCAGTTTTTCCAGTTACGAGTCCTTTTTTTTAAAGCTGATCGTTTTGTGTTCATTTTGTTTAGTTCTTTTTTCGTAACAGATTTAATGTCTAGTATACAGTTTAGATAAAATTCGCAGTGTGAGATAGGCAAGAAGTAAGGCATGTAGCAACAACAGCACTGCAAAGGGCACTCCTTTAAAAGCAAGGAAGTGCAAAAATATTTTAAGTCAAGTGATAGCGATTGCTGTATGAGTCGTACGATTTTTGAATCAAGCACGGGCAACGCCGGGCCATTCTGCTAGTCATAGAATACAAATCTGAAAGTTTGTTATATTAGTCATCATGATTTACGTAGATACCGCTAAAATATCGTGCGGACTTAGTAGAAGAAGATAGTACTCGAGTGAAGGAACAGAAACACGGGCGTAGATGAAAGGAAGAGAGTTTTATTGTAAAAGAGAATACACTACTGAAAGACAGGGAATATGGTGGCAAACTAGTAATACCCGAAGCAAGGTTATTTATCTTAAACCCCCACCCCGCGCGGGACAGGATGTGAACACAAGGCCGTTTTTTTTAATGCGGAGCAAAACCGAGCCAGTAGGCTCGGGCAAAAATTCCCCGTCGACCCCGTATACACAGGGTCGGGTAGCTGTTTACTACCCCTGACGAAAATCTGCCTTTCGGCATAACCTCGTCTGGGTTCCCCTCTAGCCCGAAAGCAGAGAGTTCGACCAGCACAGCTGGAGACGAATCTCCAACTAATTGCCGAAGCAAGCCCCAGGTATATCCTGTGCTCGCTATATATAGCCACTAATATAGTCACTCCACAGAGGCAATAGGGAATGTGGGACATTCCATTGCAACACCTCTTTATATTTTGCTCAATACTTCTTCATTTTGGGGTCAGAACATAATTGTTTGACTTTTTTCCTCTTCTTAGTACTTTTCCGTCTGACCAGTAATAATAATAATAATGATACAAAATGCATGGAAAGTTCTATCGACAAAAAATATATATTCCATCGCAAGAAGAATTACAGGGAAATTGGAAAAGCAGTTATAGAAGTCAAAAGCCATTGAAGAATTGCAAACATTTTGTGAGAATATTTGGAACAAACTAAAGGAATCTAATCCCAAATCAGAATGAACCAAACGAGAATAAGAAGGAATAAAGGATAAACCTGTGCAAGAATGGAAAAATATAACCAAGAATAATGTCAGCTAAGCTCTAACAAAATCCCCAAAATGGAAATCTCCAGGAAATGATAAGATATCCAACTTTTGGCTCTATCATCTCTCATCAATCTATAAAACTCTTGTGCAAACTTTATCAATACTAA